TACTATTGATGAGTACATGACAAAATATATTATTATTACTGACTACTATTGATGAGTACATGACAAAATATATTATTATTACTGATTACTATTGATGAGTACATGACAAAAACTGGGTTCATCATTTTAAAATTGAAAGTGAAAAAGAAGAGAAGTAAGTTTACAATTTTGAAAAGATAAACGATCTTCATTCTTCATGACAGAACAAATCTCAAGAATTAAAGAAGGTTGCAACCCAAACTGAAATATTGTCTAAAATGAATAAATGTTTAAATCTCTATACAGTTCTTTATCCTTCGAGCATAAAGAAGACGATCTATTAAAACTAGTTAAGATTTATAGTTGGACAAGTACCTTAGGCGAAATCCTGGACCAAGTCCATGGTCAATACTTGCTCCACCACTCAAACCAACCCCGGAGCTCCCGCTAAAACTACTCCCGGAGCATCCGCTCCTACTACTCCCAGGCTCAGGACTCCCTGCATCCGGTTGACTGGAACATCCGGCCTGGGGGGAGTTGTGACCGGATGGAGGCCGAGGAGAGGTCCCTGCTCCAGGTCGAGGTCGAGTAGAGGAGGACGGGAGGGGTCGAGGGGAGGATACGGAGGGAGGACGGGGTGAGGCTCCGCCTGAACCTCGGGGAGACATTTGGCCTGAGGTTACAGTAGCAGCGGGAGGATTCCTGGATAAAAATGTGTTTTTCCCCCACAAAATCTTATGTTAACCCTTTGANTACGCAAGCTTTATCAACTATTCCAAATACTTACTAAAGTTAAATCAGAGAAAAAACAACTTTGAAATTAAAAATTTTCTTGAGCTATACTATGTCAAGTTAGGATTATATAGAAAAGTTTAACAAAATGTTAACTATATTAAGAGTTAACGGTTTTCTGTAAAAATATACCTGTTTGCTTTATTCCTAGCTTTCTCTTGCTCTTGAACCCACAGAAGATAACTCTCCCTGGCAACCTAGATATGATAGGATAAGGATAAGATAGTAAGATAAGATAAGATACAATCAGATAAGATAATATCAGATAACGACTTAAGATAAAATAAGTAAAGATAAGATAAGACAAGACACCGTAAGACAAGATAAGATAAAATATCGTGGTTTTTAAAAATAAAATGTTCATATTGTTTTGGACATTAAAGTCCTTAAACAATATGAGAAAATATACTCAGATACTCTGAAATGAGAAAATACTGAAGATTTCTGATGAAATATACAAATAATAATAATGTAAACACATATTTTAGTAAATCAGTCAACAAGTGTTTCCCTTTTAATATATATTGATTCATTTATGAACTCATCACATAAAATATATAGAAAATATAATTTTTAATTTTTACAGACGTCGGAACTTATGTATAAGGTAGCTTTCCTCACAGTGGAAGCGATTTAAATTCTTAATCTATGGAGAACAATTGACTAATGTTTTCGCGATCTCAAGTTGGCAAAAAGCAGATTAACTTCAATGTGGGTTGGGGTGGTAAGAGTGTATAACGAGGGGGGATGGTGGGTAATGCAGAAGTCCTCAATGGGTAATCACCGCCACCCAAACGTGTTTTACGGCATGCGCACTCCTCAATTGGTAATTAAGACAAAAAAGCGAAACATTAAATCGCTTATTTCATAGAAATAAGACCATATTGACCTTTGTCAATGGCCCATATGGAGTACAATATTGTTAAATAAAATAAATCTATATGCCACATTTTATTTTCGAAACTGAGGAGCAATAAAGAAATCTTTAACAATATTTAACACCATAGAGCCATTAACATGCTGCATCAGCATGCCGCACGTTTAGGTGGCGGTGATTACCCATTGAGGATTTCTGAACTCCCCCCCTGGTGTGACCAGTTCTCGTAAGATCACTGAAGTTAAGCAAAACTTTGCACTGACCAGTAAGTGGATTAGTTGCAGGTCAAACCCCACACCTCACACGACGTTGCAAAAATTTCGCCAATGAAATAAAGATTTTCCAAAAATGAACCCCTAAGATAACCAGTCCCTAGAAGTAAACTCTATGTGCGTGGTTCCTGGAAGAGAACCCTTGTGTGTGTGGCCCTCTGGAAGTGACCCCCTATATGCGATGTCCCCGGAAATGAAGACCCCTATATGAGGTTTCTAAAAGTGATCCCTAAAATGCGTGGTCCCTAGAAGTGACCCCCCAAATGCGTGGTACCCGGCAGTGAATTCCTGGAAGTGTATTCCCCGGAAGTAAACCTCTACATGTATGCGAGGTCCCTAACGTGAGCCCAAGAAAAATATCTCCTAAGGTTTGAAAGGAAGGATCTGTTAATCTGATAGTACAGCTTTCAAAAATGTACTTTTTTTAAATGTTCTTTTTTTTCTTTTTAGGGACGACGTATTAAATTTTTTGAAAGGTTTAACGTAATTCGTCAGACTTTATAGATACTGATTAGAGTCTTCAGAAGAAATTATCTAAGCAAAATCCGGAACTCTGGGTTCCTCCGGCGACCTCAAGTACAATACCTGTTCCTCTATAGCCTCGTTGGTAGCCTCCCAGTCTGTAAACCTGATTTTATCCTCCAGCATCTGGGTCTCTGTCAGGTTGTTGTCGTTCTGTGCTAGGACAGCTGAGAGATCAGAGGTATTGCAACCTGGTTTCACTCCTGGTAGACCCAGGCCTACACCTACACAAAGTTGTATTAAAGAGACTGTTCGCGTAATTTCAAGTGACCCTCCATTTATAATGGTACCCTTGACACCCTTATCTGCAACAAATGCGCAAGTCAATTTTTGTGATAAACTCTCATTTCAAAATTATTCATTTTCAAAATTATAAAAATTGATTTATCATTCATACGTGATCTTTTTGAATGGGGCATGGCCAGTTTTGCATGTATAATCCCTTGAAATTACGCTTACAGTCCCTTTAAGCAAGGTTGTACTACTTAGTTACATTTCACACTCCATACCATTATTTTTCCAAAGTTACATTTCCTGTATATAAAACTTCCTCAAATTCCTTCTTTATGTAACTAATATTCCTTTCAGGTAAATCTTATTCAAAAATTTACACCATGTCTAAAATATTCAGATTTGTGAAATTCACAGTATTAAAAGCAGTGCTTAAATGGAGTGACCGGCTATGTAAGGTAGTTGAACTGAGTATGCAGTGTTGTGGAAAACTGCTTTCGGATTCATATGAGACATATTAAACTTAAAATCAATTTTTAAAGATCTGTAAATCCTTAGTTTGAGCGCAAATTCAACGTTCAAAACTCCTACTTTGGGGGTAAATACGTTTTCAGAATTATTATTTTTAAATTATTAAATAACGACAACTAAAATAAAGTAAAAATTATACAGTAATCTAATTAGATGGTTAGGAACATATTCATCAAAAGAAATTTGTCAATAAATTAATGCTAAAATCGATTATTTCGATTTCATTATTATATTGAATTTCTTATTTTCTTTGAAGTTATTTGTAGATTTCTTCAAACTCTTCAAATGTCGTCTTTTCGATAATTCTAGAAAATCTGCAGAAAATCTTTGTGTATAATGAGAAACCAGAATAATGAGAAAATAGAAACTAATAATTGAACAAGATTACTTAGTTTCGATGTTAAGATTAATTTTTATTTTCTCAGCATGTTCCTATACATGACGTCTGTAGTTTATTGTAGAACTTCTTTACATTTTATGTCGTCCTTCTTTTTTTACACAATATAGTCGTCCTTCTTTCATCTTTCAAAAATCCTTTTTGCGTGAGAAATAAAATATTTTTAACAAAAAACATCTCATTGTTTATTTTTCTTCCCCAATACAGCTTGCGAAAAAACTATCAAAAGAAAGACTGACAATTATAGATACAAGCCTAAGTAGTTGGGGCTTCACGGCTTCGGCTACTTCCACTCGGGCATAACAGTATCATTGCACATGTCATGCTAACTCTGTAACCCAAGTACTCCTAAAGGAGGCGGAGGGTTGCCGGGATGGGTGGTTTCCTGGTAACATTTGTGTTATTGGGATGTCCTAATAGATAGATAGATAGATAGTCTATAATCTGTATACCCAAAATACACCTGTTATGGAACGTAGTACCATGAATAAAAATGTTCAAGTTACCTATGGCTGAATTGTTAGGATCTACTACACTGTTGTAATGAACCCCTCTATGGTAAGAGAGACGAATAGGTATACTGAGTTCACTACTGGATCGGTTCACGTTCTGGAAGATATTTATCGGCTCTAAAATAAGAAAATAATTTATAAGAACATTTACGAACACATTTAAAATCTAGCTCATCCCCATTGATTATATTAATAATAAACTCTAAATCGATCTATCAATCTAAAATCGATTAATCACTCTCAAATCAATTATTATATCTTACATCGAATAATCAATATTTGATTTGATAAATCAATCTTAGTTCAATTTATCAATCTTAAATCAATTAATTAATCTTAAATCAATTAATAAATCTTAAATCAAATAATCAATCTTTAATTAACTAATCAATCTTAAATCCATTAATCGATCTTAAATCAATTAATCAATCTTAGATTGACCAATCAATATTAAATGGTTTAATCCATATTAAATCTATTAATCAATCCTAAATCGATTAATAATTCTTAAATTGATTATTCAATGAACCCTAAATCGATCTTAAATTGATTTAAAAATTCAGATAATGCAATCCTAAATCAATTCATCTTCAAACAACATCAATGTATTCTTGAAATGCCAAGCTTACTGAAGGAAATGCCAAGCTTACTCAAGTTTGAATAAAAACTGCCTTGTAAAATTTATCATTAATTTTAAGTAATTTATCAAATATATATAGCAATAACAAGACTTCTGCCGGGCAACTGAATTATTCAGCATCCTTAATAAATAAATTTAATTATGTACAATTTACATTTCCCCGTTGAAGTACTACGGTAAACATTACCTGAACTGTAGCAATAAATGTGAATTGGCCTGTTATACAATTCTGAAAGCGCCTAAAAATAGTATGTACAGAAATAATTGCATGCGTTAAAATTATAGATCATATTTTGTCATTTAACTTGAATTCCATCTATTGCGTATTGTAATGTTGAATTAAATCTACATTTTAAATAAGAGAGAGGAATCCATATACCAGCGAGGACCACGGACGTCACACAACAAAAATGTATTCTAAGAACAAATATAAAATCGAATATGTTTCCCGTAAAACAAAATAAAGGCTGTGATTTGAGAAAAAAATCACAGCGAAGTCCACAACAAAGTTGTTGCTAGAAAACAATAAACTTGTTACATGATGAGCAAAAAAATTCAGAGATTCTGTTTAGAAACAAACAAAAATGCGGAAATTAAAATTTTACCTGAATTTCAAGATGGTTTCCGTGTACTTGGGTAAGGCGTTTTCTTCGTACATATTCTTTAAAGTCTTCAGTCACGTATTGTGCATAGTAATCATTATTACTTTCCTAAAATGAATAATTCATGTTGAAAGAGTAAAACTTGACGTTTTTTTAAAATAAATATACTTACAATATAGTTCATACACTGAGATCTAACTCTGCGATGCATGTCCTGAATAAAAATTAAGAAAATTAAAAATTTTGTTGTATATTTTATCAAAAAATATTTGACCAATAATAATTAAAAAAAATGACCTGGTCTCCATAAAGTTGATCAGCCACAGCTCTAAACAAGCAGGCTCCGTCCTCACCCATTAGTTTTATAGTGTATCCTTTTCTTCTCATCACTCTTTCAAACCTTCATATTCATTATTCAAAATAAGTATTTTCTCTTTATTTTGCATTTCAAATAAAAATGCAAATATATGAAGTAAAAAATAATTACATGTATGACGTATGTGTTAAAATTTGACTCATTGTAAGTATAAATCCACCTTGAAGGCAAACTTTACATCAAAACAAAAGCCAATAAATGTAATCGCTGAAATTGTAACAGAGGCAGCTTATGGTGGGGGGGGGGGGGTTTTAAGGGGAATTAGGGGGAAGTCTCCCTCTCTGAATAATTGGGGGGACATCCCCCCACCCCTGGAAAAATTAGGAGCACAAGAAGAAAGAGCAGGCACCTTCTAACCCTTTAATTGTGATTTTTAAGAATTGAATGAATTTTTTTGGGGGGCTGCAGCGCCTCTTTTTCACTCAAAATTAATACTTTTTATAAAAATCCAAATTTTCAACCTTCCACCCCCCAAGCTGTTCATGGTTTTGATATAAAAATTGCCCCTGATTTGTAATAAAAAATATTCACCCATAGATTCATCTTTTATTATCCGACCAACCCGATTGTTTTTAATTGGATTTTTAAAATAAACTATTAAAATATATTTAAACCTCAAATCTTTCTCCACCCACTCTGCCTCTGTCAGTGTAACGCCCACATGGCTGTATTCGTCTTCCGAGTTGTATCCTGCTAGTTCCTCTTCCTCCCGGTATCCACTCTCCGCCCCATATCTGCCCTCCGCCCCGTATCCGGCTTCATCTCTGTATTCTCCGTCCTGCTCCTCTTGTAGTGGAGTTTCCACCCTGAACAATCAAACAAAATTTTGTTCTGTTCTCAAAATCATTTTTTTAAATGTGTAGAGGGCTTTGGCATCAAATCAAATCAAATCAAATCATTAGGTTTAGGGATTGCTTTAGGCTCCTTCATGCAAAGTGGGGTTTCAAGTCACTGTGTAACTTAGTTTTTCAGCCCGGATCCTCATGAAGTTGTTAATTTTGTTACATTGGCTCGGATTGAAATCATTAATTCCCGATAAGATCCCAGCAGCTGACCCAATTTGAGCAATGTCTCCATTTTGCGGAACCTATCATTTGTAATTTTGCCATACATGTTTAGTGTTAATGACAAATGATGCCTGACCTCCCTAATGGTTATCAAAATCTTTGTTGGTAGGTTCTTAAACCGTAACATAAGATTATTATTGGCTTAGTTAAGTGATAAGTTTGAATCAAATATCAGATACATGCTTAAGTAAATTAAAACCTATATTATAAATTACCAAAAAATCTGTTTGTTGGAGTATGGGGATTGGGGGGGGGGGAGTTGAATTTAGAACAGCCATGTGTACAAATAAAAATGTTAAGTCAAGAATACATATTTATAATGCTGTTAAAGTGAAAAAGAAAGAATATTCCATTAACAGTACTTAATTAACAGCCAGGTCTATAAAACTAATTTAGAAAAATAATCCTCTAAAAACCACCAATCTACATGATAAATATCATTATGGGTAAAACTAAAGAATTTTCGAAGGGTTAACAAATGTGTATATTTATACTCATCAGCATTGCTAAAGGGTTATTCCAAAATCGTCAATAATTTCTCCCCAATAGAAGGGGGGGGGGGATAACACTGGGATAAAGTAAGCTGCTTGCCTTGATGAAGATGGACTAGAAACATATGTACTGCTCCTGGACCTAGCATGGCGGGGATGTGCTTGTCTGGCTCGTTTAGCTGGTACTCCGTCCAGAGAATCCTCGAAATCGGCAGGATGGACCGGAGAGGAGTGTCTCTTCTCCTCCCTAGAACCGGAGGCTGAGGACCAGTGCGAGGGCGATGATGTTGAAGGAGGCCGTGTCTCCTGTCGACTCCCCCATCTAGTGTCCGACGGTACGTTTGCTGCGACAAATAGAAGTTCCTCTGAACCCTAAACCACGGTAATAAATTAAAAACAAAGTTAAGTCAACTAATATATTTTGAACAAAGAACAAAGAAACCAACCGACAGTATTTTTAGATAAATATTAATAAAACTGGCTAAATAATTGTGCAAATGACTAAAAAAGAATATGCATAAAAACAAAGTCTTATATGCTTACTAATTTTTCAGAAACGTTTAAGAAAATATCTTTTTTTAAGAAGAAATAAATGTTGAAATTTTTGTTTGGTAAACTTGGTAAATTCCTGAATAATTATTTCTATTCCCCCCTAGCGCTCGGCCCCCTAGCCTGTCCTAACCGCAGCGATCGGCCCAGAAAGTGTCTTAACCTAACCTAACCCTAAATAAATACTAATTAAAGTGTCTTAACCTAACCCAACTCTAAATATATACTAATTTAGTTGAAAAATTATGAAAATTGTCATGTGTACAAAATTGATACAAGGGGGCCGAGGGGTCCAGAAATCGTTCTATGGGACGGACCCGGAAACTTTTTCTCCCAATGCTAGATGTGAAATTCGTGAAATATTGAAATTTTAACTTAAATGTAATTACTTGATTGGAGGCCAGATATCCCCCACCCCCGAGATGGGTTTCATTTTCCCCCTCGTTCTTCCCTCCTACAGTCTTCTTTTTCGGCAAAATCGTCATTTTGTCCCTTTAACAGGCACTCTCACAATTTACGAGCTCACATTCGTCGACGATTTGAGATCTGTGCGTTCATAAATTTTACAAGGCGAATTAAAACGGTGCCATCCAACAGAAATGACGTAGTTTCAGGGCTTAGAACACTTAACTGCTGAGTGCTGACAGCTACGGTGGAGACACATTGCGGATAAAAAATGAACTAAACTAAAATTGGAATCGGATTTCGGGAAAGCTCTAATTTGCACTTCCTTGATGTTTCAGTAATAAGAGATCATCGAAATGAATGATTCAATGTATTCGTAAAATTTTACTAAATAGAAGTACGTTTTCACCATATATTAAAGCATTTAATGCAGTCGCTGGACGCTGAGGGCATATAATAAAACAATGAGCAATACGAAAAACAAAAAAGCATAACACTTGAAAAAAAATAATATTTGATATCAAAGCAATAATTTTAAAAACAATAAAAAAACGGAAAACTAAAAATTATTTTCGTATAATACAAACAAAAATGGAACTGTCGTCCTTGATTCAAGAAAGAAGAAATTTGTTTGGAAGATGGAAACGCGGCAGAGTTTATTTTTATGCGCAGGCCAAGTACTCTAACCGCTCAAATGTGAGAACTAATTTAATTATGACTTAATCAAGCAATCAATGTCCCTTTGTTGTTGATTTTCATGTAAATTAGGAACCTTTAGCCCTTTCTTTTCCTTGACATCTACTCGTTAAGTCTCTAAAAAAGCTTGATTTCAGTTGATGATCATAAACAATTTTTGACAAAAAATTATTTTGAAATTTTGGGTCTGTCCTAGTGAACGATTTTCGGACCCCCCCAGGCCCCCCTCCCCCCCCTCTTATCAAGTATTCTTGACTTTTCAAATGTTTATTTTCTCGTTGCCAAGATTATTTTAGTTTTTACACGATTGCATCTGTAATCTTAGTAATAAAGCACTTCGCTTAAAATTATACATCTATATATAAATTTGGCTTGTCTGTTTGTTTGTTTGTATCCAATAAACGTCAAAACGGCTGAACCGATCGGACCCAAATTTTTTGTGGGACATATAGGGACCCCAGGGAAGGTTTATGAACGATCAAAATTTCAAATATTTGTCTCCATCAAAATTCGATCTTCATTAAATTTTTGAAAATTTTGAAAATCCACGAAATTTTTTGTGAAAATCCGCAAATTATTTTGTTTTGTTTTACGATGTACACAAAGAGAACATGTTCACAATTAATTTAGAAGATGGGCGCGAAGCGCCCTCTAAGGCTAGTATTTCATATATTTCGCATATACATATTACGCACGTAAATATATATTTATATTAATATTATTCAAATCTATTTATTGATCAAAATGTGCAAATAAACTATACATACAAAATATACATTAAACTGTTAAATCAACAAAACCAAAATAAAATTTCAAATATTTAGCACTGCATCACAAGCTCTCATTTAATCGCCTATTACTCAATTAACTTAAGCCAATTTACTTAACTTTAAAATTAAAACACCAAAAATTTACCAAATATTTATTATTTCTTTATAAATAAATGATGCTCTATGTAAAATATTAAAATCAAAATGTACGTGTTTTTGATATATATAAAGTTTACTATGTTATTTTTGTACTTTTTGATCAATAAAAAGATTTGAATAATAAAAATAAGCTCTGCAAGTACGTGAATAAATGACGAACTGGCAAATTCCGCAAGTTCCAACAATAAGAACAAAAACCAATCAAAATATTGAAAGTGGCGACCAGACTAAATAAAATCAACTGGATAATAGTAACAAAACTGGTCCGTCATCATTTAGAAAAAGACATGACCTTACAAAAATGACCAGGCAACTGAGACAATTCTGAACTGAAGGCATAGGAGGGAGCTATGCACTTGTACTCCCGAAGAAGAAGGCAAAGAAAAAATGCAATAAAACGGCAAAGAAATTGTAACAAAAAAAAGAAACGCTGCAAAGAACCAAAATTGTATTTTTTCTTGATAAAAGAAACCACCGGTCCAAAGGCTATGCACTTGTACCAACTTTACATAGAATAAGGTTTAGGTTTTCTAAGCTCAACCCCTGGATCATGGGATTCGATCAAAGAAATGTGAAAATGCAAATTGTATCAGGAATAAAACAAAAAGTTACATTTTGAAAAGTAACATGATTAGCATCAGTTAATAATTTCCGATGCTTTACTTATTTCCTGATCCCAGACGATTTTCTAGATTTAACGATCATAATGCTTTCTTTTCCTGATAAGTCGTTCTGCCTTCTCCATCGCTAAACCCAATGACTTGGTTGTGGCCTTGTATTCTACAATCCTGTAGATGACCTTGAAATAAGTAATCACAGATTTACCATTCTCAGTCTGCATTTATCATCTAGATGGAGCATCTCTGTGTACTTCTCTTTCCATAGATAAATAGATACTATCTTGTTAGTTTATAAGGTCCTCCTAGTTTTCTGATACTGCACCCATTTCAACTTATTGTCAAAAAATATATTGGTATTCAATTCATAGCATTTACCCCAGAAATTTAATCCCTGCACAGCTATTAATTCTTCCTCCCATTACCACTCACGTTTTTGCAGATTACTATTAGAATGCTCTAGCTTTTTTAGCAATTTAGGCCATGGCCATGAGATGTACGATAGCATTTCAGGTGGTTCATAAAATTTGCAATTAAATTCTTCGTTCGAAATTCTAGTATTATTATTATCACAATATATATATTTTTATACTAGCTTTTTTATGAGTAGTTCTATATGTAATGTTTTTATTAGTATATTGAACCACAACACTAAGTCATGTATATTTAAGGAGCCCGCGTAATAGCTCATAGAAATAAACTTTAATCAATCAATCAATATACTAGCTATAGCTAGCCAAATTCAGCGAGTAATAAATAGATTGCAACCAGGGGCTATTAGGTGCCTGCTCTCTCTTCTTGCGCTCCAAATTTTTCAAGGGGGGTTCCCTCCTTCCCCCCCCCCCATAAGCAGCTTCTGATTGCAACTGCATATGGTTACTATAGTTTTAATTGTTTTCAGACAGTATGTCGGATAAAGAAGAGTCGGGGTCAAAGACAAATTGTTCATTCACATTCAAACGCCGTGGAGGAGGCAGAATACAGGTATAGGTTTCTGTATTTTATATATTTATTCGCATATCATGGAACACCATTTTGGAGAGTGCTGCGTTAATATTCGCATATCATGGAACACCATTTTGGAGAGTGCTGCGTTAAGTAGGAAAATGTCATATCTATTATCTAATCGATGAATATCGTTTTATAAGATTGAATTTATTTTTTAATTTAATTTTTTAAAAACATTGAAAAGGATCTTACATAATATCAATTCTGACCAACAGCACTATCGAGAACCCGATTTTCTACGATAAAGATTTAGAAAATTTGATTTTCACAGAAATATTGGATAGAAATGTCAAAAAATTAAATATGATATTTAATCCCTGTAAATCAATTCTCAGGATCCATTTTATTTTGGAGCGGATCCGGATCCAGGTCGTGAAAAATGAACATTTCTTTTAAAATAAGTAGAATTTTAAAATTATTTTTTCTATTTTTTCGCTTATTTTCATGATAACCCTTTATAAATCATTCAGAGAAAAGAATATTTTTAATTATCTCCATTTTTCAACGATTAAAATATTTAAGTGTTGAGAGCTAAAAGTTTTTTGATAGATATTTTGCCCCTTGGATCTGGATCCAGGAAGCCAAAATGTTGCGAATTCAACGAATCCGGATCCTAAGCACTGCTTTAAATCATAATCCCGTTCATAATTGGAACCCCTCACTTGTTCTGTTTAGAAACGAGAAACGAAAGATATTGAATCCAATGGTGCAGAGAAGTAAAAATATAAAGAAGTTTAAGGTACATTTTTAATATGAAAGGATGGTTTATATATTTTTCTTTCTCCTTCCTGTGTTCTTTAATGAATTGTGAACAGATGAACCTTGAACCTTTTTTAAAAGTTATTACTCCAAATTAAGTTTGAAGTTCCGTAAAAAAAGAATAAAAAAATTACCCGAAAACTTAAATTTCCCGAGGTAGAAACTTCTGTATGGTTTTTACCACCACGGATTATCGAAGAGTATTTAAATTATTCTGTCCGCGTAACATGAAGATCAATGCTTGATCGATTCACAACACTAAAGTTCTGATCTCTGATAGTACCTCCTCCACCCCAGACAAGACAAGCCAAGGATTAGTAATGAACAAAATTAAGGGACGAGGAGGAGATGGGGACGGAGATAGTAGTGAGGAGGAGGCGGAGAAGAGACGAGCAACCCAGCTGGTGTACGGGTCTAGTGGAGCAGTTGTAGAGAAAACAGATCAGAATGCTACAGCTATACGACAGGTGGATACAGAACTTGAGAAAGATCAAAGGTAACATCATATAACAAAGTCATGTTTGTACAGGATCTTGAGTGTATACATCAAAATAAAACCCAATATTTCTTAAATTTTGCCCTTTAAGCTTAAATAAACAAAGAAAAAAGTGTAAATGTATTTTAAGTACAAAATGCATTTTTTTAATCCTCAATCTTTTACATTTGGTGCAGTGCATTTTTGCCTAATTTAAATTCTCATAACATTTCGTTAAAGGGACTCTCGACGTAATTTTCAAGTGATCGGGCATGGTTTTTTTTTAATGGAAGGTCACTTGAAATTACGTAGACAGTCTCTTTAAGAGCTTAATAAATTTTAGGGCTATTACAGAGCGGTCAGAGCAGGTTGCAACAGAGACAAAGGGTCAAGAGGACGACAAGATCTACCGAGGGATAAACAACTACGCAAAGTATATTGACAAGAAGGAATCATTGATCGGGAAAAGAATGACGATTAAACCTATAAGAGCTCCGACCAACGTGAGATCAACCGTGAGATGGGATTATGAACCCATGTTGTGTAAGGATTACAAGGAGACCGGATACTGTGGGTTCGGGGACACTTGTAAGTTTATGCACGACAGGTCTGACTACAAGCACGGGTGGCAGATGGACAAGGAGTTCGAGGCTGGAGACTTTGAAGAGTCGGACGATGAAAAATACGCAATTTCGGACGAAGACGATTTGCCACATAAATGCGGGATTTGTCGGGGTCAATTTACCAATCCGGTGTCAACACGGTGCAAGCACTACTTCTGCGAGGCGTGTGCGCTTGCGCATTACAGAAAGTCCCAACGATGTGCGCTTTGCGGTCAACAAACTAACGGAATGTTTAACCCTGCTAAAGACTTAGTTGAAAGGTAAATAAATGATTTGGTATTTTTATCAATTAATCTTCTTCTATATATAAATTTGGCTTGTCTGTTTGTCTGTCTGTTTGTCTGTTTGTATCCAATAAACGTCAAAACGGCTGAACCGATCGGGCCCAAATTTTTTGTGGGACATCTAGGGA